GCCTGTAGTCCCAGCTACTCTGGAGGCTAAGGCAGGAGAATCGCCTAAGCCCAGGAGTTGGAGGTTGCTGTGAGCTGTGGTGCCATAGCATTCTATTGAGGGTGATAAAGTGAGACTCTGTCTCAAAAAAAAAAAATTAAAAAAAGAATGATATAGCTATATAAGGGGCATAGGCAGTGCAGACAGGGATGAAATTCTACTTTAGGTAAGCAAAGTAAGGCTTGTCTGATAAGATGACATTGGAGTAGAGAGCTGAGTGATGTGAGGGACAGAGCCGTGATCTGGGGTAAAAGCATCCCAGGCACAGAAAATAGTAAAGGTTTTGAGGCAGGAGAATGCTGGCCAATTTGTAGAACAGCAGGGAGACTGGCATGGAGTGAGTAAGTGAGGGGGAGAGTAGAGTGATAGGAAAGGAGGTCAAGGAGGAGGTAAGGGGCCTGATCAGGTAGGGCCGCCTAGGATATTGTAAGAGCTCTTTGTACCCTGAGATAGAGTGGGAGCTGCTGGAGGTTTGTTTTGTTTTGTTTTTGAGACATTGTCTCACTACATTGCCCTTAGTAGATTGCTGTGGCATCCCAGCTCACAGCAACCTCAAACTCTCAGCTTAAGCAATTCTCTTGCCTCAGCCTCCCAAGTAGCTGGGACAACAGATGCCCACCACAAGGCCCAGCCATTTTTTTTGTTGTTGCAGTTGTTTAGCTGGCCCCGGCCAGGCTTGAACCTGCCATCCTGGGTGTATGTGGCCAGTGCTGTGACCACTGTGCTATGGGTGCCGAGCCCACTGGAGAGTTTTGATCAGAGAAGCAAAATAATTGAACTTAGAGTTAGAAGAAACTCTCTGGGCTCGGTGGCCTGTAGCTCAAGTGGCTGAGGCGCCAGCTACATACACCAGAGCTGGCAGGTTCAAATCCAGTCAGGGCCTGCCAAACAACAATGACAATTAAGAAAAAAAAATAGCCAGGTGTTGTGGCAGGCGCCTATAGTCCCAGCTACTTGGGAGGCTGAGGCAGGAGAATCACTTAAGCCCAAGAGTTGGAGGTTGCTGTGAGCTGCGATACTATGACACTTTACCCAGGGCGACAGCTTGAGGCTCTGTCTCAAAGAAAAAAAAAAAAGAAGGACCTCTCTAGCAAGTTTGTGGTGAATGTAGTAGGGGAAAACTGTACTCAGTAAGTATTGCCTATCATTATTTTTCATAAAGTGGCAGTACAGTCTACACTGGCTGGGTTTGAATCCCAACACTTATTAGCCTAATGAATTAAGCAAATTTAACTGCTTAACTGCTCTTTTTTTCAGTTCCCTCAGTTGTAAAATAAGGAAAATAATAGTACTCACTTTGTATGGTTGTGGTAAGGATCAAGTAAGTTAAAAGTAAAATGTGTTTAGAACAGTTCCTGGCATATAGTAAGGACTCAACAATAGAGTAAAACTGTTTTTATGGTGATGATCGTATTGAAATTTCCCACTTGTTTGTCTGGATTGTCTTCTAGACTGAACTCCTTGAGTGCCATGAGTATTCATTTTCACATCTTCCGTTTCTAGCATAGCACTTGGAACCCAGTAGCTAATCAATAAAATGTTTTCAAATTTATATATAAACTTTTTATTGTTATATATTTAAAAAATGATATATATACCAAACATATTCATTTTAGTAAGTTCAAACCTTTCAAAAGAGCATAAAGTTGGAAGTAAAAGAGCCCTTTCCCAGGGTGGCACCTGTGACTCAAAGGAGTAGGGCGCAGGCCCCATATGCCGGAGATGGTGGGTTCAAACCCAGCCCGGGCCAAAAACTGCAAAAAAAAAAAAAAAAAGAGCCCTTTCTCCTGATTTACCACCCGGGTGAATATCTTTCCAAACTTTTGTTCTTTTGATATAAAAGAATATATATTAAATATGATCATATTAGATTTTAAGATAATTAATTTCTAGAAGCAGCAGCAAAATTAAATACTGTTAATTAACAGTAAATTATGTGGCTGTTCATGCCTGGGATATATTTTAAAATTTCACCCCATTTGTCAGCAATATCTTGAAGTTTAGATCAACTATAGATAAAACCAGACCTGAGGACATAAGAGGAACTGTTCAGTCCTTGAGTCTGTAGGTCTCACAGCTGCAAGTATGAGGTCTGATTTAGCCTGAGCCCCATAAAAATGGCAATTGATCTTTAGAACTAAATACTTGTAGCCCAGATCAGTCCAAATCAGAATCTGACTCATTTAAAAATAAATCTAAAAGGTTTGTGTTCTGTCATTGATTTTCTATTCTTCGTGATTTTAGTGAGTTTATTCTATTCTATCCTTTATGAAAGAAATTTTATAATTATTTCCCATGCCCCAGCTCTACAAAATGTGCTTGAAATCATTATTTTTTATAAGATAGAGTACTAAATTCCTTCAAACTGTAGAGAAAACATGCAATAAGAATATTTTGATCTGGGACTTTGTTTCTTCTTTCTGGGTAGTTGACATCACTAGAACAAAAGATCTCTACATTGAGCCCTGTTTCTACATTTTCTTTGAACTCAAGAGATGAAGACTTCACACAAGAATTCTCTGAGGAGTCCCTGAAAGCAAGAACTTTACCTGGTGACTTTCACTTTCTCATCTTGTTACTATATTGCTCTAATATTGGTCTGTCCACGTAAGATGAAGTTTTTCATTTTAGAGATTGTTACTAAACATAATAGAACCTCCATAGTTGATCACCTCTCAGCTCCTTAGGTTGAACTAATTTCATAGACCCATCATGCACTGCATGTACATATCAGTACAGTCAGCCTCAGCCTAGTTCCTTATGTTGGCCATCTCTGTATGTTGATCAGTTTGTTATAGTCCCTTGGGTCAACTTACAGAGCTTCTACCCTATATCTTAGAACTGGATTCAGTGTCAGACCCTGTGAAGCCTTCCCATTATCCTTTTTTCCTTAAACTTTTTCTATTATAAATAGCTATTCCAAGTTTAATACTTCTGGATGAGTTGGCTGCTAAACAGGACAGGCATCAGCAGCAAAAACACTTGGCGGGCTGTGGGCCGTAGTTTGAGGACCTCTATTCTAGAGCCTGATCCCTCTATACTCCTTTCCTGTCCCAGGGGAATGACTTTGTGTGAATGTCTCATCAATATGAGACATAGCACAACCTCTTAGTTTCCCTCTTTTTTATACTAAGATCCTGGCAGTAATAGGAAACTCTTCAACTGCTGCTACCACCATTTCTCTCTCAGGACTCTCGTTGTTTTATGTATTTTGACCTTTCTCTATAAGTTATTTCCTGCTTTTTGTTTTGTTTTGTTTTTGAGATAGGATTTCACTCTGTTGGACCAGCTAGAGTGCACCAGTATTATTGTCATTATAATTCACATCACCCTCCAACTTCTGGGCTCAAGAAGTCCTTCTGTCTCAGCCTTCCAAGTAGCCTGAGACTATAAGTGTGTGCCTCCACACCCAGTTAATTTTTTCTGTTTTTAGTAGAGATGGGCCCAGCCATTTCTTGCTTCTTAATAAGTATAATACTATTCCATGGGATCCCTTCTATTAACATTTCTTTTTTTTTTTTTTTTTGAGACAGAGCCTCAAGCTGTCCCCCTGGGTAGAGTGCTGTGACATCACAGCTCACAGCAACCTCCAACTCCTGGGCTCAAGCGAGTCTCCTGCCTCTGCCTCCCAAGTAGCTGGGACCACAGGCGCCCGCCACAACACCTGGCTATTTTTTTGGTTGCAGCCATCATTGTTGTTTGGTGGCTCGGGTTGGGGATTCAGACCCACCACCTTAGGTGTATGTGGCTGGCGCCTTAGCCGCTTGAGCCACAGGTGCCGAGCCTCTATTAACATTTCTTTTCCTCTTTTCTTATTATCTAATCAATATATCTCCCCCTGATTCTAGAGTTATGTTGGCTGAGGGGTGAAAATTGTAGGTGATTGTTTTGGTTGTGGATAGATGATATTAAAAAGAAGAATTTTATAATGTGAATTTGGTAGTTGGGTTGGAGTTTTGGTGGATGGGGCTAGCAGAGGCAACAAGGTAGAAAAGAGTCAGTATGGTGGGAATAGGTATTTTAAAACAAGTGAAGGGGGAAATAATAGGTGCATTTTCACAGTTAATGCTATGAATTGTTTACTTCTTTAATGGAGTTTTAACATTTCTGTTAGTGTTGCTTATTTGACCTATTAGAACTATAATATAGCACTTTATAAAAGAATATTCATTGGCTCACCTATGACTCTTCCCAGATAATCTCCAGCATTTTTTTCCAACAAGTAGAAACTTTCAGAAAGGTGCATTGTTATAAAAAAGGAATCCATAGCATTGTCGGATAAAAATGTTTGGCTTGTGTAGTTCCCATGCACTATTACTCATTCCTTTATGTATTAAACAAATATTTATTGCTTCTTACATTTTTAGGGATGTATCTATTACTAAAGCTGCTAACAGAAGGGGCTATAAAATTCTTTCAGACAAAAATCTGCTGTGACTTTATCAGAATTGTACTCTTGTCACGTACTACTAGATCAAAATAAAGCTAAAGTTTTCTTTACCCTGAAGGATGACATGAGTATAATAAATAAAGAAAGAAAATTACAATCACAGTCTTATAAATACACCATGAACTTCAGTCTTTGGAGAAGGAATGTAAAGTAGATATCAAGAACTAGTCTTGGCCAGGTACAATGGCTTATGCCTGTAATCCTAGCTCTCTGGGAGGCCAAGGTGGGTAGATTGCCTGAGTTCACTGGTTAGAGACCAGCCTGAGCAAAAGTGAGACCCTTCTCTAAAAATAGCCAGGCACTGTGGCAGGTGCCTGTAGTCCTAGCTACTCAGGAGGCTGAGGTAAAAGGATTGCTTGAGCCCAAGAGTTTGAGGTTGCTGTGAGCTGTGACGCTACAGCACTCTACTGAGGGTGCCATAGGGAAAGTCTGTCTCAAAAAAACCGTAAAATAAAATAAAACAAACAAACAAAAAGAACTAGTCTGGGTTGTCATCCTGATTCTGCAAATTGGTAGTCATTTTACCTTTAGGCCTCTGTAATCTCATTTGTGATATGAGAATTATGCATTTTTTGGTTGGATTTAAAGTGCTTTGAAAATTTAAGTGCTGATCTATGAATATAATATAGGGAGAAAAATCCTTAGGGAGAAAAGTCCTTAGCTAAGGAGGAAAAGAAAAAAAGGATGAGTTCATCAACCTCAAAAAAGTTTCAGTGTGTGAATTGAGTTTTTAAATCTTTATTATTTGAGATTAAAACAGTTAATTATTTTTAAAGGAAATAAAATGTGATTTTTCTTTTGGCGGGCAAGTTGCCTCTTACCGTTTTTGTATAGAACACTGTGTTCTAGAGGCCAGATAATGACTAGTAGTACATTTTAATTTAATCAGCATTCTGTTTTCTTTCAGGAATGAAAAAATCCAGTTTGCTGGAGAATAAGAACCGTCAAAGGCTTTCATTAGTAAGTAGAAGCCAAGTTCCACTTACTACTTTGCCACCTACTGATGAGCCACCTGTCTTAGATTCTTGTGCTTATGTGTTCAACTATAACACACCAGAGTCTTCTGGTTCTTCCATGTTCAACTTGTGTGAGGAGTCTGTAGTTCCTTTTTTTACCTTTGGACCCAAGGACCAAGGTGAAAGTTCTTTCTGTGAAGAATCTAGGGAAGTGACTCCAGAGGATGTTTCACTTCTTAAAAATGTATCTACTCAAAGCAAGTGGCTGAAATACCAAAGCACATCCCAGTGCAACTTGACTGCTCCAAATAGAGTTGATAAGAAAATAAAGGAAGGCTTCTTTGCCGAGGCTGGTTCTGGAATGCATTTTAGTGACACAGGTGAAAGGCAGAGTGATGCTATCAATGAAAGCTCTTTAGACTCTATGCATTTACAAAGGATAAAAGGCATGCTTTATCAACAGCAGCAGGATTTTAGCAGTCAAGATTTGATTTCCAGAAAGAATGGACTTTCTTTGAATTCAAAGCAGACTTCCAAGACTGAAGAAATTCAAAATGTGTTAGGAGGGTGTGCTTTCTACAACTACAGTATAAAAGATTTACAGGTGAGGATGTGCCAGTCTCTTGGTGCATTTTTTCCAATAGCTATTGTCTGAATTTCTTTTTTTTTTTTT